TTTTTTTTTTTTGTTCTTTTTTTTGATTAAAAAAAAAGTTGATTCTGCATCTTTTTAAAGTCTATATGTATCTCATACAAAAAAAAGAAATTATGGTCAAGGATTTTTTAGTTTTTGCATTCTTGAAGCATTTTCCTGAGAGCTAAGCGATAGGTCTGTAGTCTTTTTGTGTCACCTGCGCACAGGCAACATCTTTAGGTGCACCATAACGTCTGTAACTTTGCAAAGAAACTCTTCCTTGCGCAGATGTTTCCATCAGCAGTAATAAGGAGTCGAAATTGTTTTAGGGCTGAGTTGCATAGTACGATAAAGTGTTTGCACGTCTCAGAGTACTCGCCTTGAGCAATAAAAAAAAATCTGACTTTTTCGATATTTTATTAGTATCATTGTTTTGCTATGATATAAGTTACCAGTTTCGCTAATCATTACTGGGAACTAGGAGTTCTTCTTGGATTAAATTGAAGAATACCAAACTTTTTGGACATTCCAGAGACACCTACCGCCGGTTTACCAGCAGCGAAGAGTAGACAAGTTCTAAATTTCTTACGGTCACTGTAGACTTGCAAAATAATAAAAAATGCCGTCTTCCATTAGCAGCACTAGGAGATCAACAGGTCTCTGGAAGTTGAGCTTGAAAAACTGCGAGTTTTGGATCATTAAGAAGCACTCAATAGAAAAATGATGGAGGACTAACCGAGGAAAGTTCTTGGAACTCACAATTGATGTGGACATATAAAGTTACGTGAAACATCGCTTTTACCCTTACCGGTAGAGAGTCAGAAATTTCCCAGAAGTTGATTTGAGTTTCTTAGAATTTTTGAGAAGCATAGTCAGTAGTGAATAAAAAAAAGAAAAGTAGGGCAAGTTTTTGAAACTTCACGGCGAAAACGACTGTAGAATAGTATGTACCGACAGTGTCTAACCGTGGTTTTGAACGAAGACAGGAATTTTTAGTAAGAAATTCCTGTTGCATGAAGGATCTAAGTTTCTTCCATTGAAATTATCTTTGTGAATTGAATATCCCGGAAAGGGAAAATGGGCGCAGGGTTTTTAGTACTTATGATTCCTTAAAAGTCACATAATCATACAAATGACTTATAAATACAGGCCGAAAAACATATTAAATGACTTTTAGTTTTGCACTTTGGACATGAAACCGCCAAGATTATTTTGTGGGTACTGGTTTCACTTCTATGCTGACGCGACTTCTTGCACCAAAAGGGATCTAAAGGTCAGGTATTTCTCACTGTAAAGAGGCTGAAAAATGGAATCGCTTCTTAATCGTTCAGTATAGCTCTGATCTTCCCTTTGCTCTTTGGTTCAAATTCCCATTGTTTGTTTTTATCTATTCAAGTAAGTTCTCTCGAAAATCTGTGAAGTTTACTCTTGAAAACGTGGAACAATAAGATACTTATCGCCGGTAATAATGACACTAGTTGAACAGCAAGACGAGCATGTAAAAGATGTCGCTTCTGATTCAATACGGGATTTGCACAGCTGAGACAGGCTTTGAGGAAGAGATACGTATATATGTGCTGAGACTCAGGCTTTGTTTTGGACTTGGCCATGGTCGTAAAGGTCCTGTTAAGATTTAAGACTTCCGGGTTAGGTGGTTTGGTCATTGAAAAATGAGACCAACAAGACAAGGTAGGAGCAGGTGCTTGCAAAGCTGTTTGATGGTTCAGGTGGATGGGAATGATATTTTGGACGAATGAAGGTTGTACGTTCAAAGGTTTCAGTACCGCGGGTGTTACGGCTGTGGTCCGCACGTACCCGTGTATCCATTGCTGCAGTTTTGAGCGACAGCCGTGATGGTGGCGACTTAAAGACGCACTGAAGAGAACCGAAAGAGAGTTCTAACCCGTCAACAGTTGTTCAGGCAGTTGGCGGAAGTGAGATTTTTGAGATTGAGACAACAGTGAAATTTTTACCCGTACTCTTGCCGCATCGTATGAAACAGGATGGTGCGATAGTGGTAAGGACTGTAAAATGCATCAGTTATAAATGGAGATGAGTCGAGAAGGACGGCGGTCTATTGTGGCAGGCTATGTGCGGGATGTGAACGGATGATGTTGGAGAAGATCGAAGAGGAGGTAGAGTGGGGAAAGCACGGGTGATAGGTGTGGGGGGCTCATAACGAAGAAATTGCTAAAATCAAGACCTCTTTTGGCAAAAAAACTGTCCTGTAACCACTAAGATCCCGCCAAACTAATTTTCAGTTAAATCGTTAAATTAATCCCACGGCCAAAGTCGTAGGCCTACTGCGCATTTCCGCCTCATCAACTTGTCTCCTCTCGTTGTGTCACCCACCTAAGAGGCCGGTCCCATCCTGGTAGTCAGGCTATTTTGCCTCCTTATCCGCTACCTCTCGCCGACATCTTACCAGACAGTCCTCTACCTTTCTCTAGCCATCACGCTCGTCTGCTCGTAGTCCAACTGCTTAACTCGCGATTTATCGTGTCCCCTTCTCATCGCACTTAATTGAATTCCACCCTCACTGAACTGAACCACGAAACAGCCTTGCGAGGCACAATATACTTCAGTCTTAATTGCTCACTGTGATGTTTCATAAAATTGTGCTTTTAAGCAGAAAACTGTCAGAGTCGCTTCAGCAGCAGGCTCATATGAACCACTAGCAGTGCTACATGGGACTACAAGAATTCCTCAAAATGATTTGCACTTCCAAGATTTACATCAACCTTTCGGATCCCCAAAGCGCAAGAAACTAGTAGAACTGAGATTGAATTGTTTGCATTTCTTGCGTTTCCTTTTAACATTACAGTTCATGTAAGTCGGTTATTTCATGGCAGCATTGCAAAAAATTAAGAGCAGTAGCACAGTCTCCCCGAGGTATCTGCTGTGTATTAACAATTCCGAAAATTCAAAAAAAAATTGTTTTTAATAAAACATTAGATGGGTCACCTTTTGTCTGTGCGAAGCAAAGTAAATATTATAATTTTTTTGAAAGTGAAAACACCGACGTGAAAGATATTATTGTGCATAGAAGTAAAATTATCTACACTTCTCTGTGTCTGCAATAAGCTGTTCGTATCTTTCATTTTTTTTCACTCCATAGTCTTGTAGGTAACGTCCAGTCAGTTTATAAATATAAAGTCCTGTCTGATGGAGAAATATTCGTGCTTCATAAATGGTAACAGAAATACATGAAAACATTTTTTAATTGACAGCATAGGGAACATTGTCTTACTTTATTTGTACATTGGATATGTGTGTGAGATATACATGCCCTTATTTTATAAATTCTTGCCCCTTGTTTTCTGTCTTTTCTTCCGCTTTCACCCGTTCATTCATCGATCCTTCTTCTTTTTTTCAATCCTTACTCAGTAAATGATTGCCAAATTTCTTGAAGAACTGTTTATTTGTTTAGATTCCACCATCCGTTGACCATTAAAATAAAGTAGGAGAATGCTACCCACGCTGTCAATTACAAAATGTGTTCTTCTTTTTTTTCAAATAAAATAAGGGATTATATATATATA